GTATTTATTCAGAATAGTTTCCTCTACCAAGTAGGACCTGAACCACTTCAGTACTGTCTGTGATCTCCACCCACTTCTGCAAGCAAGAATGAAGATTCCTAATCCACTGCATCTAAAGTAGCTGTCAAATCTGAAAGCACAAGAACAATGCTGTCGCCACAGTCATTTAAGAATGTGTAATTAAAAAACTTTACACAGCACCAGATCAGTACGAAAGCAAAATTGGAAAATCCCATTCCAGAAACGCCTTTAATTTGGTTGTGTACTGTTTATTCAAGGACTTTGGAGGGAATACGTCTTTTAGAAATAGGCCTGTAGTTGTCGAAATCAAAAGTGCAGGATCAAGACCTGGCTATTTAATTAAAAGAATTGTCTGAAATCCATAGAGGCCACAACTGACAACAAACTGTGATTTGCCAGTGCAAGAACCAGAGGCCCAACTGCGGCTAATCCGTCTTTAAAAAAGTCGACTAGGGACAGCATCATTTGGAGACCCTGCAGGCTTCAAATGAACAACAATCACTTGAAGTGAGGAAAGTCTCAGGTTCAAACCTGTCAAAGACAGCAGAGTAGGGATCAGAGACCGAGGGGATGTGAGCAATAGAAGAGATTTGAGCTCAGACTGAAGGGATCTTCTGAATAAAAAGTACAGAACGTCTTCATCAAACACATGGCTCGATGCAGGCAGACTATGGCACAATAAGAAAAGATTCATTAGTTTTAAACGATACGCAGGTTTGATAGAATATCAAAGTGATGCTTACTTTTGGCATCTTGTGCAACTTTTTGATGTCGTTTAGGTTGCGTGGTTTTTAATGGAGCCACTGTGTCCAAAGCAGTCTGTCAAGTGTAGTTAAACAATGAGCTTAGATCCTCAATCTGGTTGTATTAAAAAAAAGTCTTGCAATATATAGGTGTGGGTAGGAAAAAAAAAAAAGTTAAACTCCTCAGCAATGGTGGAAGTCGAAACAACAAAACCACCGTGCAGCAGACCAAGGTTTAGCTGCAGTACAAGTAAGGGAAAGTTCAAATAAGAACAGGCAGATGGACTGAAAATACAGCATCACAAATCTGTAATTTGAAAGCAGGAAGGCCATGAGTTTAATAGATCAAGATTAGAATAATCTATAGGATTAAAAACACATTTTTGACATGGACATTTTGGGACAATGCACAGGGATATTAGCATTCAGCTAGAATTACACAGATTATTTTGTCTACTTTGTAAAATCACAGTAAAATACTTCCATTACTGCTTGTTAGTTGGCAAACTGTGGAAAAGTTCAAGGAGTGTCTTATCTTAAAGCTTTGACACGTAAAAGCTACACGTCTAGGACAACTCAAGCACGCAGAATCGGTGAAACGGATCATTGCAGCACCTCGGTGTCTGCATACGTTGGGAGCGGAAAGAAAAAAAAGCCGGAGGAACGCTGCTGTTGTTTCAAGGCAGAGTTGTCAGTGACTCTGATCCCCCACTTCCCATTGCCTCCCCGTCTTCCTCTCTCCTCACTCTTGCACCTTGTCGCCGTCTTCTCATTTCCACACCACAGAGGGAGGAGAAAGGGATTGGAGCATTTCGTTTGCCAGGGGTGAAAAGAATTCATTGATTGTAAGCAGCGCTGGTTTCTGGCACAGAGAAGAGGGATGAGATCGGGGGGCTCTCGGGCGAGGAGGGGATGGAGACGGGCAGAGATGGCAAAGGGGAACAGATACGAGCACGGCAGCAGCACAATCGCGTCAGCCGTAGCCTCCCAGGAATAAAGTTGAGCTTAACTGCAGCATTACCCACACGCCTGCATTACAAAATGTTCCTTCGCCAGCATTTAGCATGCAAATTGGCTTCCAGATTATGCCTTTTGTATTCATTTTACAAACTGTCAGGCTATGATGTGGGAAGAATGATAATCAGGCAGATATTGCCCCCTAGCGCTTCCCTGACAATCATCGCACACTCAAAGAGAGGGTTTGCGGGGTGAGGCGGGGTATTGTGCTCTGCTGCAGAGCGGTGAGTTGCGTGAGCGTGCCAAATGAGACAGACTGGAACAGAGGGAGCAAATAACTCAAAATGAGTTACAAGTGAATATTTTGGAGTTGATGCAGTGAAGAAGAAGAAGTGGAGGGAGGTGGGGGGGAAGCATGAGGGGATTATGAAAAATAGATCTAGAGAAAACAAAATAGAAGCTGCAGGGAGCTTACTGCAGAATGGAATTAGAGAGCCGATACAGTTGTGTTGTCTAGTCAGGTAAATTCATTTAGCCAAAAGAAGAGAAAAAAAAAATTCATGTAGTCAGTTTGCAAATTAAAAGCAAAACCACGCAACATGCAATACAGCTTACCTCCTGAGCATTCATGTTACGACACGGTGTCCTGATGCAGAGCTGCGTTTTGCTGTGTAAGGAAGAAGTAACAGTGTTTGGATTTGTAGCAACTTGTGAGAGCACTTATAGTAAAAAAATATATATATATATATATATATATATATATATATATATATATATATGTATGACATTGCATTGTAGTTCTGGTTTTACTTCACATTTGTCTTTATAAGCTGTCAGTTGGTTAGGCTTTGCCACAAAACGTCACAGTTTTGTAAAAGCCATTGTATTTGTTGTAATTTTAAAATCTCGTCTTGTAGTTTGCTAAATTTCTACTTTTATCGATGATGTAGATGTAACATTATTGGATCGCCTATTAATAAATTTGAAGCTAGCTACGTTTTTGTTTGCCGTATTTTTTGTTTGTTTTTTACTGAAATTAAACCAGACAAAACATTTACTGTTTTTGATCAACTAGGATTACCAAAATAATTTTTACGTGGTAAACTTAAGATAAAAAAAAAAAAGGATCTATGGTCTTTTGACAGTATTGCTTTTTAACTGTATGCCTTGTGTCAAACTTTATTGGCTATGTTTCTACCAGCTGTTTGTTGAAAATTTAGGCCATTACCTTTTCTAAATATATATATTTTTTAATTTTAATCAATTATTAAAATATTAAGACAGGTCACTATTGAATATGTTTGAACTGCGGTCAGCGACAGCTATGACACTTGGTAATATTTGGGGATTTGTTTTCTTGGACCAAAATTGCCAACCTTGTGGGTTGTAATAAATTTTTTGGGACATGTAGGCAAAGACATAAAACAAGTTGTGATCATTTCCTCACAACCGAGCGCTCTGCATAGTTCCAGCGTAAGGCAGACCCAGAAAGAAAATGGAGCCAGGACCGTGTCGTAGCTCTCTCCTTTGCAGACTTTGACGGACAATGATGCATGTCTTTTGGATCGCGGTGCACCTCCACCAAGGGAACCTGTAAGAGCATAAATATTTGATGAGGTGAAAAAGATACAATGAGGAATCCCGGTGACTCTCCATGTTGGTTTCAGCACTCCTGGTCCCTTTGGGGAAAGGGTCACAGTAAATCAATATGAGGTTCTACTGAGTCATCATCCGTATCCTTTAATGACCCATTCAACGAACTACGGCTGCCACAGCAGTAAATGCTTTAGTTACTTTGAGACTGTTAAATTCTCTTGATAAAACAATTTTAAAACCCCAAAGTGCATTTTTTTAAAGGAATATACCACGCTCTGTATCTCCTCCTCTGAATTTGTTTCCTGTCAGCAGTTCCACTTATCCTTGTGCCTTTCTCCATTTGTTGACTTGAAATCATATCAGTCGTATAGCCCTTATCTCATTCATGATGTTGCCCCTAATTGTGTTTATAGCTTACCCCCCCCTCCACACACACACACACACACACGGATTGTGTTGTACAACAATCCTGTGCTTATCTGCTGACCACATATAGTATTTAACGTCCCAAGCCCTGAAGGTATTCCTGCTCTTACCAGGTGAAAGCTACAAATGAAGTGGGAGAGCATGAAGGATGCCAAAGAATGCACTTTGTCTGGCAAACGAATGAAATGTCACACCATGGTTTTTAGAGATTTTAGTTTTACGGTCACTGAATGCAAACGTAGTGAATCTAATGACCTTGTGTTCAGAATTGGCATTTGACAGACAGTAAAACCTTAAACCTCTCTGATCTTAGTGACTTTCTTCACTCCTTAAGACAAAAAACAAGTCATGTTGATCGTCCTTTTCACTGTAGGTGGCCTGGTATGGTGAGTAAAGAAGTTCAGCATTTCTAGCAGAACAATGTCACAGCTCCCCCAAAGGTCGGATAAATATGCACAATGAGAGAACTAAACTAGAAAACAAACAAACCAAAAAACCATTGTGAAATTCACTGTAAGTTATTATAGGCTATGGTTGCCATCATGTCGTTATTAAAATACAATGATGTTGTACTATGCATCTCAGTTGAGAATTTATTTTGCTATGAATTATGAAGAGAAGCATAACACTGTTCATAGTGAATCACATTGATAAAAACGCTTGTAAAATTCTAATCTAACAGAATCAATGAACAAACCGACATTCATGACGGATTTTGCAGAATTACACAATGGCTTCAAGAATATACCAGGTTGCCAAAGAACAACATCTTTGTTTGGGTTTACAATTCACCATTTCAGGATTCTGACCACATTGTGGAAGGAATATTTTTTGATAATTTCAGTGTAATTACACTGTGAGAACGCTTGGCTACAGACCATGCAGACTATGAGCAGCATGCATCACTGGATTACCTTGCAAAATTATTAATGCTGCTGAAAGGTTACAATGTCATGATGGTAATATGAAAGAAATATTCAAAGATAATTATCCATTCCAGTTTTGCTCTGCAGCTTCTCTGCTTTTGGTTCTGTAAGTTGGCAAGAATTTAAAACGGCGCAATTCTGAGAGTTGTATCAACTTTTTGCTACAATGGCCGTTGCTGCGTTCTTTTCAAAACGCAATTACGATCTGAAACACGTCGGCCCAGACAGGAGTTTATACAGTGCATCTTTCCCACATCCAAGCCATCATGAGATTTTATTTCCTCCCCCTAACATTCCTCCTTTCCCCTTCCTTCTCATCCGTCTCCGTCAGGACAAGTCCAACCCCGAGGACCAAAGCTCCTGGGACAGCTTCAAGACCATGACCCCCGAGCTGTCTATCGTGCCTGGGGAGCAGAAAGACCGTCTGGAATTGCACAATAAGAACTGGGACTCGTCCTCAGCGAACACACCGGACTCGTCGGAGGGAGACTTCCAGACTGAAGTGTGAAGACGACACACGAGTTGTTCATGCTCACCTTAATCACAGACCTGAGATAATGTTGAGATACAGACACGCACACGCATACACACACACACACACGCAGACACAGGACTCCCGAAAAGATTCAGATAGGTACGATCTCCTGCAAAGGATCTCAGACTTTCTGCTCCCTGCCTCATGCAATGTGCTTTGTTGGATCCCATACTGTATTTGTTTACAGCTGAAGAGGACGTATATTCAAAAGGAAGACTGTTCTTCGCTCTATTTTCGCAAAGACTATCGGTGGGGTGGGGGGGAACAGAACAGGGGCTGGAAAGATCTGTGACTAAAGACGATTTTTAAAAGAACTCAAAAAGGATGAAAAACTTAATTTCTGAGGGAAAAAAAGGTCTTGATTTTATTCTGAAGATAAAAGAAAACGTCTTACAAGTGTTTGATGACTTAGGGAGGTTGGTTTGGGGTGGGAGAGAAAAATAAGAATATTTCTGCACTCTTATTCTTTTTATATATATATATATATATATATATATATATATTGCAAGGGGGAATATTTCACCTTAGTCCCTCCCCCCAAGGCAATCTACTTTGATTATTTTTTTTCTTTTTTCTTATTCTTTCAAATGGAAGATGAAAGTATTCAGTCACTCCGTCTATCCTATGTGTTTGCTTTCTTTTTGTCACAGCAAGAGTGGATAGGGAATGAGGGGGCAGAGATGGAGCTGCTCACTGATTATGTGCCATTCTCTTTACATGTCTTCGGGTTCTGGTTCTTCTAGACTCACCTCTTTTTTTTTTTTTTTTTTTTTTTTTCTCTCCCTCCCACTTTTTCCC